CGAAAATTTGTATGAAAATTAGAAATGAATGACCAAAATAAATATGCGACTAGCGTTAAGATATCGTGAAAACTTGACAAACCTTCGATAGGTGAACATAAAAGCGGTAGGAGTTCTTTAATAACACAGATGACTATAGTGTAGCTACACAACTGTAGTATAGAAATGTCAAGCGAGAAAGCCTTTCTGTGTCACCCCTCGCTGCGCGGAAAGCGCCATGCCCTATATTTTCTATGAAAACTGTTTGCGTGCTAAAGCTCCCTTTCATGAACGTTTCCTTCTTCTGATACTTCATACATTACAGCTTCTTAGCAAAACTAGGCTATCTCATCCGTCGCTAACTTAAAAGTTTTGAAATAAAATACAGCAATTACGTTATTACATTTATTTTAATTTATTCGTGACAAATAATGACAATACCTACATCAATATTATTATTTTTAAATACTAAGTATTATTTTTGAGCTTATGAGTTCTTTCAATTCCTAAATCAGCCAAGCCAAACAGACCTTCATCGTGACCGAACATAGCATGTGATTTTTGACAAAAATTTACATTATTCACATAAAAGGTGATTAAATATTACTTGTAAGAATACAAATATAACAAGACGTACAATTATTGTTTTTGTTAAAATAAAATACACTGATTTGACAGATTGAAAGGATTGTCAACATTATATTAACCTCACTTTGCAAACCGAGCCTGTGATTAAAATATGTTTCAAAAATTAATCAATCTCAAAAATATGATGGTTCCACCTATTTCTTCTCATTTTTTCCCACAGAGCATTGGTTTGATTTTGGAAGATTTTTGGAGAATGTTTAGACTGCATGAATGCTTCTTGAGCACACTGACCTTTAACACTATGAATAACGATCATATTTTCTGGTTTAACAGCAGCTTTTGCCTTTACCAGTCGAGAAAGTGGAAATTATTATTCTTTCCCTTTTATACATTGTAGTTTTAATTTTTTTGTCTAGATCTGATACGTGTCACCGCGACTACTGCATTTAACCTTGAAAGATTAAGTTACCTACAATTTTTCAAGTATCATTCGTGATTTGAAAGACTTTATTTATAATAATTTATGTTTCTTTTACTGTATAAGTTGAAACAAAAGTTCAAAATGTTTCAATATTATGTTATGATCAAAGTAGTCCTGCCTTTTTGAGTTTGAGTATAATGTAAAAAAAATAAAAAAATCTGTTAGTCCCCAACTAATAGCGAAGACTAAAATAAAATGATATCTATCCAGTGGTGATAAATCAGTTAGAACAGGTGTAACCGGTGTAAAATTGTACATAATTTAACATCAGCGAATAATGATTTCGATAAACATTCTGTTCACTGACGTCAGGCTTTTCAGTAAATTACATAACTATTTATGTGTTATGCATTAGTAAGAGTCACATTTGCACAAGTTAATTAGAGAAATGTTTGTTATTAAAAATCTACTAACTTTGTTTGACGAAATTGTTACATGCCTGTTTGCCTCAGCCTATTACCTACAAGGTTAATTTGTAATATGAAATAACTGTTTGAGTACAGTAATTCACATTTTAATTTGACCTTTAATGATAACCCTTGTTGGATATTTTTATAAAATTATCATAAAACATTTTGAAACTTCTTATATAAATTTTTGTTTGGCACTATTTATATGAATTTAGTAATATTAAAGATTTCAATAATAAAAACTTACTGTTTCATTTCATCAACAATTAATTTTATGATTTAAGTATACGAATGCTATTTTAACTGTAGGTATTCCGAGATCAACGGCAATATTTTTGTGACACAGTTTTAGTAAGGTGATCCGCCTGCAAATGTTTAGAATATTGTGCAATCTCTTCCTAAAAACTGTATATTTTATATTATTATGGTTTTATTGAATATGATCGGTAATGTAGGATTTATAATATGTTGTTCCGTTTGTTTTGAAAATTAAAATGACACGGACTTTTAATTTTGCAATGTGTACTCGTAATATAAAAAAATCCTATCAAATTAAAAAAACATATGTATTTTAACAAACGTAATTTCTATTATGAAGTGAGTCATAATGTTGTACTTAAATACAATTATATGGAAATAAAAACTGTAAATGACCAGTTTGACAAATATTTTCTTAAATGTTGAATTTTGTGCGTGAAAATTACCTTATGGTAGTTGTGTGATCAAACTAGGTACAAATCTTTCGTTACACCTCTTTAGATTTTAAATTATCGGTTTGCAATTTACAAGTAAAATGTTTTCTATAACTGACTACCGCCTAACTACAATATACACAATGCTTAAAAATTTTGACTATTCAGTCGGGTTCCTTAACTCTAAGACGAATATTTAATTTAAACAGGTACTACTAAACACACAACTTATACATTATGTGTCTTATAAGTAGGTACAAGAGTATATCATATAACTACAAATTAAATGTGAAACATTTTTTAATTACAGAAGATGTTTTGTAGCGTACCCAAACAGATGCAACTGGTATTGACATTATAAAATAGCACGTAGCACATTTGCTGGTTTTCAATTTAGTGAGTTGCTGGGCCCCGCAAAGGAAGTGCGTACATTACGAAAAACTTGCGTCACATAGCGTGACGTCATCACAACAGAGGAGTAGATTGATCGCTCCAGATAGAAACTTTTTAATTATAGTGAATCAGCACACAATAGACAGCGGAATGTAAAGTTGAGTTTTATTTGTTTCTTATTGGAGCCAAAGTTAGATTCTATTTTATTGAACAGTTCAGGCTTTTTTCAGTTGCTTTAAACTTTTCGGAACAGTGGTCATTCCGATAACTGTCACTAATCAATTTGTCTTCTGTTGTTATTTTGCACAGAACTATTAACGAATTCAAATAAATTATTTATTTAAATTAGTAAAAAGAAAAGAAACTGACATCGAGATATCGAATAAAAGATTAACACTACATTTAATTAAAGTGAAATGAAATTTTACATTTATTTTTAATTATTATACATACTTAGTTTAATATACATATATGTATAGCATTTGTATTCTGAGCGACGGAAACATTACAATGTTACAAAGCTTTATCACTGTTTATCTCTTCATTAGAATAAAAAATGGAAATTCGTTTTAATATCAACACTTATAATTTTATTCTTTTTTCTTGTGTTGTATTTATATGAGCGTGCTTTTATGTTTACAGTAACCGAATCGCAGTGATTTCATACGCAAAAGCTTCTAACGTTTACTACCGGTTCTACTTCGACATTCCTAATCTAAGTGTTGACCTAACATATGCATACAGGCTGTACAAGTAGTCCAGTTATTTAAGTAAAAAAGGGGGTCAACATAGGAATGGAAGATATTAAGTTGAAACCTCGTCTAAATATTAATTGTCGAATTCTAAAAGTTTTCTCACCGTCTCATAATATCTCGTTTCGCCTAGACAGTCTACAGCATAGAATGTTATGCTATATAATTACTGGACATGTCGAAATCATTAGAGCTAAGGAAAGCGAGATATTAAAAAAATAGCGTATTAGTTACTTTTGCTCTTGAATATTTAAGACGCGGCTACGACTTTTCAGCTAAATATCTTTCACCCCAGGCGAAACCCTTTTATGTGACTGGACTAAAACAGTAGGTACCCTAGTATAGAATAGGTAACTACGCAACTGAACAAGAAGAAGATGAAACGAATGTAGATAGGTTATGTTTGTAATGTAAGGTTTACGCCCGCATTAAACGACATTGAAACAGCTTCAGAGTACTTTAACAGTGCAAAGAATAAAAAAATTCAAGTCTTTACACAATTTCGTGTTATGCGGATACTTAAGTTTAAATGTGGCACTCCATTCTTTACAAAGGTACGTGAACTTTGTTAATGTCATGGTTTTTTATAGTTTTTTTTTCGTAAGGTGATATACATACATGTGCAAGAAAGTATGTGATAGGATATAGAAGGGTCAGCCCTTGGTAAATTACGTGATTAATTGGGATGTAAATATTCCTTTTCGACAATAATGCAAAAATTGCGAAAACAAATATCAAAATTCTACTTTAATTCATATACCCATGTCGTTGTCTCTCAAAGTTGTATCTTATCCTATTGCGATGGTAATTTCGAATAGATTTTTAGTCAGCAATTGACGCATGTTTAATAAGACATCTTGGTCCTAATGCACTTTCCTCTAGTATTAGCAACTGCTTCTTAATTACCAAAAAACAATAAAACAAGCTGGATATTTTACAAAAATACAAAAGTAATCGTTGGTAGGTTAATCCTCCCTTGAGGAAAGCGTATTTTTAAAACCTATTGTTAATTACGTCCCTCTCAAAGTCTATAGAACGGTAAAGGCACGGTTATGATGTGTATTGCACTTATGGGATTACTTGTCCGTACAGACAGAGAGAAGAAATTTCTTCTAAATGGTTCAAAACACGTTCTAAACTACGAGTCAAGTCGAGGAAAGCATTTCAAGGCACATACTTTTAGAAACAATAGTAAGGTGGTACAGATGGAAAACATAGCTGTACCACCATTAGGTTAGGTTACGTTAGATGAATGGAAATTAGAGCGACCGCTAGAAGCGTAGTCTACGATAACTTCAGTAACACACGATGAACCTTCTAGTTTACTAATCCGAGCGATCGGCTACTGGCACACCCACACCGATGTGCATCATTATCGCAATTACCCTACAACGTTTTTATATAGTATTTATGACACACTTAATACATACATTTTTAAATCAAAGCTCTTAGAGTTCACTAAATGTTTAACCTGCACTGTATCACCGATTTCACAAATATTCAAAGAACCCTTTCCATTGACACAACCCAGACATTTTATACCAAAAAGAGCAAAAGTCAGAAGTTATCTTTTAATAACTTGATTTAATTATCACACACTCCGCCGTTTGCTATAGTAGGAATATGATTCCCATTAGTCTTTTCGTGAACGAGGCAGGAATGGTGCGTTGGCTCCTGTCAAAAAACTGGAGGGGGCTGTCTTCGGTCACAGGGTAGAGGAAGGCATGTTCCGCGGCAGAGGTGCCTGGCAGCGTGAAGGAAAGCCGGTGTACGGGCTGGAGGCGGAGCGGTCGGCGGCAGAACGGGCGACAGCGATCCCGCACCAGAGGGGCTGTCGTGCTCGGCAGCCGCGGACGGCGGGCGCTACACGTGCGTGCACGCGCCCGCCGACACGGGTCAGCCAGCTAGCAAGTCTTCCGGTTCCGGCGACCAGCAGTTGTCTGAGAGCCAGCACCCCACCACCACAGTCACGAACCCGATAAGTAGCGCTAATATTATGTACACCTCTGCGTTTCCTACAACAAACATTCCACATTAATTCACACCCCTAATTATTAACTTATAATTTTGCTTGAAATGAGTCTAACCAAGCTGTTTTCGTATTCCCAATGGTTGTCGACTGCGCCACAAGGAGTTGATGAGCATAGGATCGCCACGAGTACGCCAGTCGCGGTATCCTCGCCCTCTGGAGTATTGACTGAATCTGCGGAACGGGTAAATGACGTTACCTTTTATTTTTACATTACTATCATTTTATGCTACCTACATACAGCTATAATGTGTTATAAGAAGGCCTAGCAAAACATTACTTAGGTATAAAATACTAAGTAAATCTACGTTAACAAAACAAAAGTCACACCACTGGTTGTAATGAGACAGCAAAGCTGCCGAAAGTGCTTTGATCACAACATTGGCATAAAGCCAAGCTTTCAATGCTCAAGCTTACGGCTCGTACAAATCGTATCTTCATACTGATAGTAGCAAAAAAGCGAAATTGAATTGTTACCATTTTCCGTCCATAGGATATTGCCGTTGCAGTTCGTGCATATGCCTAGTGTAAATAAGTGGTGCATGCGAATGTAGTTTAAGCTACCGTGATAAATAGGTATTATGAAACTATATTTACATAAAGCGAATAAAGTTTGTATCATGAGTTCAAAAATCCAAGCTGACTATCATGGAATCGGGTGTGAAATTGGACGATGATGCAGTCGAATTTGAGTTGATATTAAGTAACCCAATAGTAATGGTTTATTGAAATCGCATGATCGTTTCAAACAATTCAATTTCGCAGCATTTGGGATTGAATGTAACATAACATTAGGTCTACTAGGAGTAAAGAGTTTGTTGAGGTTTCACAAGGAATCATTTTTCATTTGGATTTTAGGTAAAAAAATTATTATCATTCTGTAGGAGTAATAATTTGGAATTTAATAATATTAGCTAAATATACCTACTTAGATGCAAATGAGTAATTTTTCATGGCTAACATTATTAGATTTAGAGTAATTAATCCTACATCAACCACCCTAAGTACTACTAGTGAGTCATACGTGCAAAATGCCAATCATATAATGTTATCATCATGCAGCGGAACGGTTCATCCATCGGACACAATTGATGGCTTATTAAAATGATGTTTGCGTTTGCCTCCTAGTTTATTAAGAAAGTAAAAATTTGTCAAAACACTCTAAATAACAAATGACTTACATTATCTCGTCGCACCGGTATTGTAGCGCATGATAAAATATTAGATATATATTCGTTCTTTTGCAAGACATAATGGGTTATACACATTCAATAAAAGGGATTTAATAATTAATAGTTTACAAGTCGTATAAGTCGTTATTGAAATACTAGGAGATAGTTGAGAAGTTAACACTTTTTAATGGTTACAAATATTTACAGTGTTTGTTCGTGACCTGTTCGCATCAAGTGACGACAAACTCATCGATTATCATTCATTTATATATGACAACGTGAGGTTATCATAAACTTGGCTCTGAGCTCTTTAAGAGTACATCGTCGTTATGTACAATTTTGTAACTTTCACTTGCTTATTTCAACATATTTACAATTAAGATTATTTAGTGACAAAGAAGGAGTATAGGCTTACAAAACCCATTTTTATGAGATATCCTTTGAGACCTTTCGTAAAGTACAATACAGGGTGTAAGGGGCGTCGTAGCGAATAGTGAAATAGTGTATTTAGACCATCATTCTGAGTGATTCTAAGTGATTTTCGACTCAGAATCTGAATACACTATTTCAGTATTCGTTACGACGTCCTTTACACCCTGTACTCTTATATCATATGGTGTTACACGAAACATGCTTCGTTATGGCAAGCTTTATGTTAAATGGAAAAAGTAACATCATAATAATGTATGCGTCTATAATGACTGCTTATTTTGTTTATCGTGAGTGTTACGTTAGAAAATGACTTGCGTGGACACTAATATGTTTTGGAATTGAAACTCATTGGAAATAAATGTTAATTCGTATATCATAAACTGTACATGTTGTACATTGTGAACACACCTGAGATGCGAATAACTGTTAACCACACCTCTGTTCGTAAAACTCATTTTAATTAAAAAAAAAAAACAATATTCCTGTATTTTAAGTTTTACCTGTATTTACTACAAATGAGTAGAGACTCCCTTGATTGTGAAGTTACTAACATAAATAGGGGTTAGTAAAGTGGTATCATTTGGTGCAGATTTACGTTGCGGTATAATTTTACTCGTGGGAGCTTTAAAACTATCGATTTCGGACCCTGTACCTTAGTGGGAGTTAATGTTGCATCGTTTGTATTTGTAATACATTGTATAGTCTAGTAACTCATAAATAATTTGTAGTAGAAAACACAATAAACATCTTTAGTAAATATATTGTAACGTTTATTAAAATAGTTTTCATGACTATACTGAAACATAGTGGTATGAACTTCTTCATCACACATCACATCAACAGCGTTTAACAGTCCACTGCTGGACTCTCCTTAGAAAAGAGGTTTATCAGCATCCTATTTGAGAGTAATCGATTTCCAAAAGTTTAATCAATTTATATTATATATACTATTACACTAGTTCTACTGGTCTCTTGGTCTAGTAATTTGCGATTCAACCTGTTAAGACATAGGTTTTGGACTTAAATCAATCTGGTTAACATAGTACAGGCCGTACGTAAGTGTCTCAAGGTATCATTATTATAATTAAACACAAATACCACTACCGCCGATAGTCATAATGGGTCTAGTTTTTACGAAGTAAAGAAATTAAATTTACGGCTTTGATTCGGCAAGAAATTTATGGTGGGTAACGCAGTCAAGTAGAGTTGGATTTGGAACTGCTAAAAGACAGGCAGCCAAAGACCAGCGCTATTGAACTGAGGTCATTATTCATGTCGGGATGATATAGTATTAGAAATCATACGTGGAGCTATTAGTTATCACTGGCGATAACGAAAAAAGGTGTAACAACAAACATAAGAACTAACATGGAGTTTATAAAGGAAAGCTCAACGAAAAGAATTCACAAAAGCCGTACTCAATTATAAATACCACCAGTGACAACATTATTAGTGGACACGTATGAAAAACGTTAGAAAATACCGGGTGATATCTGTGCCTCGGCGTCTAGACTAGACACATCGCTTTATGCAAAGTTAATTAAGCGTGTAGGACTAGAACTCATGGTTCAGTGGGAAACGAACATCCCTAAAGATCACGCTTTAAAAAGAAATATGTACTTTGACTTAACCAACGAAATATCTAAAAAATATGGCTATTTCGTTGCGTTATTTGCCGTGGAAGTGGGTGTGAGGAGCATACCAGCTAAACCTCTTTATAACCTACTTAAGACCTTAGATTGCCAAGAGCTTCAGTAAGCTTATTTTTTGAGTGAATATTCAAAGCGCCATTGTTAGGGTCGTAGAGAGCGTAACGCAGCAGACAGTGGAGGTGAGCACTGATACGTCGCAAGGAGTACCTACCTACTCCTAAGTTACAATTGCCAGGCGCTGTCGTATGTGTGGCCACTATCCAGCTTGCCTTGGACATGGCATATGCACGTTTGATCCATGGAAGGCTAAGAAATAGGTCTCAACTATCTTGAAACGTTGAAAAAACCTCATGTAAGGTAAAAAACTAGGTGGTCAAAAAACATGTGAAGCATATATGTGCTAATGGATTGATAGCCAAGAGAATCGATCAATACATTTAGAGGCTACCATTAGATAACTGGATCAATGAACCGATACATAAAGTACCGATACATAAATACTATACCACGCGGGCCAGACGGGTTGGTAAAGGGTTTGTCTCAAGTTTGCCTTTTCTTTGCAGTGCTGTTTTTCTGCGTACTTTGCTCCTATAGTGGCCTTTGTGGGTCACTACGTTACTTACATTATTATTACAAAATACGTTTTACACGTTAGAGGTAAATTACACCCAGACATAGAAATAATCATCATGCTCATCATAAAAAAATTCATGGACCATTACTTGTCATGGATGGGAATTGAACTCCCGACTTCTGGCGCAGCAGTCACGGTCACTAACTACTAGATCAATTACAGCAACAACATCTTTTGTACTAATCTTTACATTGTTTCTGTTGTACTTAAATGCTTAAATTGCTTGGCAAGAGGATGAAATTCAAGATTGAGTACCTATCGTTAAAATTTAACGCGCGGTAGTAAAAGAGGTCTACGTCGGTCTCCTATTTTATATTATTTAATATAACCTTTACTGTCACGTATGAACTAATATTTATAACGGTCACTTATATTTTTTTGTTAGTTTCTGGTCTATATCTATGGTTTCATTTAGGCCTTTTATTTTATACCTATTATTTTATTAAGCGTAATTCGATAATTATGTAGAATATGTAGATTGCTATTTGTAAAATAAGATTACAATTAATAGTAGAAAGAAGTATGGCAGTACAACATTAGATTTCGTTCAATTACATTTAAATGTTTGACAGATTATGTCAATGAAATTATTTTACATAAGTAATACAAGTTAAACCTATTAAATGTTTTGTTTTTACTTAGTACAAAGACGTCTTTTTAGACAATTGCATTGTTTTGCCCAGCCCGAGGCTATGATTATAGCGAAGTAATATACGTACTTAACGTAAACGTATAATATAAGATAAAAGGCTTGACAATAGTAATGAAGCCCCCAATGTTATCTTATTAATTCTTATCCGATCTAAGATCCAAGCATGTTCTTTAAAACTTTATTTTTAAAAACTTTTTTTACTATTAGTTTTACATTCAGCGATCTTCAATCTAAATGACATAAAGGATATTAAAATACAATCGTATTAACTTATCTCATGTCCTGTATAAATTGTGACGTAAAAACAAATTAATCCCTTTCTATGTATTAACTTGGTCGTGTTTAATTACTCTATTTATAAATTATTTAATTGGTTAGGGGATGAGATGACCTAATATATAGTACGATTTAAATTAGTGTCTATTAACTGCCTAATTAGTAAAGTTCTCGACTAAATTAAACTTGTGACTATTCAACTAAACAAAGATTTTGGCTTCAAAAAAAAAAGGTTCAAGCTACTTGCGATTTTACACTTCATAATGTTCTCATAGAATTTGCTTTATTTTTTATCATTACGTCTAATTAACTTGTAATAACGACATTGTAACTATTACACTTATTATTGTACTATAGTGTCCTACATTGCAAGAAATGAATTACATGCATAACATTTTTTTTTTATTTAAGACAGTTTTCATTTAATAACTTCACATTATAAGACTTGAGTTGAAGAGAACGACTTTTATTTCTAAACTAGCTTTTTTTTTAGAATTTTATAACCATGATCTACATTAATACTATACTACTCGTAGTAGTTTTCCTGTATATTTAGGTAGATCAATTTTTATATTGTCGTGTTATGATTATCAATGACTGAATAATTCAATTTATCTCAAATAATGATGTACATAATATTGAACTAATTTGTTTTAGTTTAATATACATAATAAAAAAAACACATTCATCAATACACGTTCTTAAATAATTTACTAAAAATTACGCAACATTAGACTGTTTTATTTTACCTATTAAATTAAGTGAACAGGTTTTCAGTATAGGGAATGCGGTAGCAGTGTATCAAATTTTAATAGATTAAATAGAGAAAATAGGTTGCATTAGATTATCACTGAACTAGAAAACGCGAGGGATTTCAGTGCTATAAGTGAAAGCTTTTAAAATAAGTGTTCTATATAAGTGATGAGAGTTCAAGCAGGTAGCTATTTCCAGATGACCTGTGCCTTCACTCCTTCGATTTTTTTTATTTTCATGTACTTCTCTGTTAAGTTCTATAAAACTTTTTAAAATAGTTTAATCATAAATAATTTATTTTTATTTTTTTACATATATATAAACGTTATGTAGCTTAGAAAGGCTAAGTCAACAATCGTTACTCTGTTTTTTTTAAATTATTATTTTTGGAATTTTCCAACATTTTTCAGTTTAATAAAAGCAACGAATGTACTTGTCCTTGTTTTTATTATATACTAACTATTTAAAATACGTTAAAGTTTTTTTTAGTACCTCTCAGTACTCGTATTATTTATTACATTAATGTACCGTCGTAACTAAAACTGCCTCACTTGAAAAGTGTTCAACAGCTTTCATAACAGATGAAAGACGTAATTGCTTTCTTAACTATACCATAAACCATGTTGTGAACTGTTGTTAACATTGCTCGGTGCGCCCAGCGTGGGGTCACTAACTCACGGCGGGGGCACATTATCTATACAGATCTAAAGTTTAGTTAAATATGACTTGTAATTTATTTGTACCTTCGGACGCCGCCAACTCCTGCCGGAGGCGCGGTAGAGTGCGGCACGCCGGGAGGCACCTGCGCGCCTCCTTGTACGCCGCCCTGCACGCTACCTTGCGGCGCGCATACACAACACCCTGTGTACACAATGAAAACTTAAACTGAAGTAATGTGAGCTTGACCGTAAAAGCTGAGTTTTTAAACGATACTCACCTTTTCAACGTTCAGTATTAATAATTTCTAAATTTAAATTGTTCGCGGCAATTTGAGACTCAAATTTAACGTCAGACCTTGGCTCTGT